TGAGGTTGCTGTGAGCTATGACACTACAGCACTCTACCTAGCACTTAACAGAGTAAGATTGTGTCCCAAAAAAAACAAAACCAAGAAAGCTTGAATCTCTTAAAGCTTGAACCCATTAAATAACTCCTTATTCCTCCCTTACCCTCTACAAACTTCTTTGCCATAGATGCCAACAGGTGCCAAACATGTTTGAGTTGATATAAGCTAAGGAAGTGCTAGTGCCACCATATTCCCTGCCTGAGGCCTCCCTAGCAGCCAGGTATAGGCAGAAACTAAGTCCCAGGGTCTTCCAGTGGGAGTATGAGCTTGGTGATGTGACAGTGTCCAAGAGTGGCTACAAATTGGGCCCTGGAAACTGTCAGGAAGGGGTTCAGTGGATACTCATGATTGTCAGAGGGTCTCCCCAGACACTCGAGCTGCCACCCGCTTTGTGGACGATGAGGAGCTTGCGTACGTGATTCAGCGATACCGGGAGGTACACGACATGCTCCACACGCTGCTGGGAATGCCCACCAACATCCTGGGTGAGTGCGCCCAAGCCAGGTGCCTAGAGAGCAGGGAATGAGTGGGGAACTACAGCCCGCAGGGCAAGGCTCACCTGTCTGCTGCCCTCCCCTATCAGCTTGTTTGGTACTACATTTTCTGCTTTAGCCTAACACCTTGGTAGCATCTCCCCACTGCCCCTTATGGCTCCTATTCTGATGTAGCAGGGTCTAAACACTGGTGCTCCTAGTCTTATTCTGCTCTTTAGCTTCCTCCCTGCTCTGAAACCTCAGCAATTCTCTAAGGCAGTGGTTCTCAACCTATGCGTCATGACCCATAGGAACTGTATTAAAGGGTTGAGGTGTTAGGAAGATTGAGAACCACTGCTCTCAGGTGGGGCTGGTGGGGACCATCCCAGGCTCCTCAGCCTGAATTTTGGGATCCTCTGCATTCTAACCTCAAGCTTCCTTTCCGATCTTTCTTTTCGCTAGACCTTCTCTACCCTAAGGAGAGTGCCCCAGAGCCCAACACAGGCTAGGACTGACTCCTCATCAAGATTAGAGAGGAACAGATGCCTCTGGTGCCCAATGAGCACCATTGGCTTCTCCGTTAGGCACCTGTTCACCTCCCAACTCATCCTTCACTCCCCAGGGGAGATTGTGGTGAAATGGTTTGAGGCTGTCCAGACTGGCCTGCCCATGTGCATCCTGGGTGCGCTCTTTGGACCCATCCGACTCAGTGCTCAGTAAGTTTTTGAGTGGTGGGGGGCTGAGCAACTCGGGGAGAACTCAGAGGGGCCAGGGCTCCCAGAAATGGAAGAGCCTGTAGGCCCCTGTGCAGTCCTCATGGTTGTCCATGAAGCAAGGATAACAAGAATGGAACATAGAGAGGAAACTTGCCTGGGCCGGTGTCTGCAGGGCACAAATAAACTCTGGATGTTTCAGGGGACCGTGGGACCTTTTAGGCTCAGTGCCAGGTCAGAATGACAAGAGTCAATGGGAAAGCGAGTTGGCGTGAGATTCAGGAGTTTTAAGCCTCAGATTTAAGCCTGAGCTTTGGCATGTTCAACATGTGTGGTTTTGGGCATGGGATTTTACCTCCCTGAGCTTATGTTGCCTCATCTGAGAACTAAGGATAATAATTTCCTTCTTAAGTATCTGAGGGGATTAAGTGAGAAAACATACATCAAGGCTTGGCGCCAGCCACATACACCTAAGGTGGCGGGTTCGAATCCCCAGCCTGGGCCCGCCAAACAACAATGATGGCTGCAACCAAAAAATGGCCAGGCGTTGTGGCGGGCGCCTGTGGTCCCAGCTACTTGGGAGGCTGAGGCAGGAGACTCGCTTGAGCCCAGGAGTTGGAGGTTGCTGTGAGCGTGATGCCATGGCACTCTACCCAGGGGGATAGCTTGAGGCTCCGTCTCAAAAAAAAAAAAAAAAAACATACATCAAGTGCTGAGCACAGGGTGCCTGGCCCTCAGGGACCTTCTGTTTTGTTTTTCTTCTGCTGCCCCACAGGAGCCTGCAAGTGCTAGTCTCAGAGCTGATCCCCTGGGCAGTTCAGAATGGGCGAAGAGCCCCGTGTGTCCTGAACCTGTACTACGAGAGGCGCTGGGATCAGCCCCTAGGGGCACTGCGGGAGGAACTAGGCATCACAACACCTCCAATGCATGTCCGGGGCATGGCCTAGGCTCTAAGCTGCTGAGCCAGGAAGGCCTGGCCTGCCTCCCCCTTGGGGACAGAGAGCTCCCTTGCCACTACCTTAATTTGTTGTAATTCCTGCTGAGGGACCTTGAGGACCAACCCTGGAGGGAGTGGTGGGGCTCCCAACGGAGTTAGGAGCTGACTGAAGAGAACCACCTGGAATGGCAATCAGCTGTCAGGACTTAGGCTGGCATGTCTCAAGTTTACAACTCCTGGGCTCTTCTCTTCCAGCCAGGTTTTTTTGGAGTGAGGACTACACTCAGTCCAAAGGCCTGAGGAGAGGGAGTGGATGAGGAGGAGAATATACTTCTGAATAAAGGCTCAGATCAGGTCAATTGTCTGCTTTTCCTCCCTTGACCCAATGATGCCCATGACTTTGGCAGCTGTGGCCCTTCCCAGCACTGAAAACAGAAATTTCCATCCCAGCCTCAGCTTTAGCTGCTTGTCCCCTGTCTTCGATAAAGACAGAGTTTTGCTACGTTGCCCAGATGTTGCCCAGGATGGTCTCAAACTCCAGGCCTCAAATGATGCCACCTTAGCCTCCTAAAGTGCTGGGATTACAGGTGTGAGCCACCACACCCTGCCTCTTGGCCCTTTTCTGAGCCCCATTTTCATCTTCAGTAAAAGGGGAATAAAAACAGAACCCACCTCTTAGGATTAAGTGAGGGTTTCCTGAGGTGATGTTCAGAAGAAAAAACATGAAAGGGCCCAAAGAACAGGAACTGTTTCGTTCTGACTGTTCATACGCGCAGAAGGAAAGTGTGAGACTGGTTCATTTTGCTGTGGCAAACAGGCATTTTTCTTGCATCAGAGCCAAGGAGTGAGGGCAGGTAGGATGACAAGTATCACTGGAAGAGTAGGTGGCCCTGTTCTGGGATGTAAACCAAAAAAACTTCCAAGATGTTAGAGCTTTTAGAGTTTGGGGGGCCAACTGCTCATTGTGTGGATAGGTCAACTAAGGCCCACAGGGAGACAAAGAATTGCCTGGAACACCTAGAAGACAGGTCATAGGCCCCTGGTTGCTATCTATAGCAATCAGTTTCCTATCTATAGCAATATAGATGTGCTATGTGCCAAGCAGTAAGTGCAAAGTACCAGAGATGCATCATTACTTTGATACTTGAAGGTCACCACCAGAGGAGGAAGGTGGTTACTTGGGTTTTACTAATCTGATCGTTGGAGCAGTGTTGGAGTTGTCTGAATAAGTGCCCAGCACTGCGACACTGGGGTTTGCCCCTGATCTTAGCCAAAAAACCAAGAAGCAGTGACACTGGGGCTCGAATCATCCCTGTGCCCATCACAACCATTTTGGGGCTCCCAGTGGCAGAGGGAAGGCATGGGTGGCTGGAGGCCTGCCTCAAAACCATGCACTTGGCCTGGCACAGTGGTTTACACCTATAATCCTAGCACTTGGGGAGGCCAAGGCAGGAGGATTGCTTGAGACCAGCCTGATGAAAGAGTGAGGCCCTGTCTACTAAAAATAGAAAAATTAGGGCTGGCACGGTGGCTCACACCTGTATTCCAACACTGTGGGAGGCTGAGGCAGGTGGATCACCTGCACTCAGGAGTTCAAGAGCAGCCTAACCAAGAGGAAAACTCTGTCTCTAAAAATAGCTGGGCTATTTGTGGTGGGTGCCTATAGTCCCATCTACTTGGGGAGTCTAAGGCAAGTGGATTGCTTGAGCCCAGAAGTTTGAGGATGCTGTGAGTTACGATTCCACAGCACTACTGAGGGTGACAAAGTGAGACTCTGTCTTAATAAAAATAAGCTCAGCGGTTAGGGCGCCAGCCACATACAGTGGGGCTGGCAGGTTCCAACCTGACCTGGGCCTGCTAAACAACAATGACAACGACAAAAAATACAGTCTGGTGTTGTGGTGGTTGCAGTGATTTAGATGACACCACTGCACTCTAGTCCAGGCAAGGGAGCAAGACTGTGTCTCAAAACAACGCTGAGGCTCGGCGCCTATGGTTCGGCCGGCTGTGGCACCAGCCACATACACCTAAAGTGGCGGG